CGAGATATAAACTCGTAATTGCGAGAGAAAAAAGTCAGAATTACGAGATATAAACTCGTAATTGCGAGAGAAAAAAGTCAGAATTGCGAGATATAAACTCGTAATTGCGAGAGAAAAAAGTCAGAATTGCGAGATATAAACTCGTAATTGCGAGAGAAAAAAGTCAGAATTGCGAGATATAAACTCGTAATTGCGAGAGAAAAAAGTCAGAATTGCGAGATATAAACTCGTAATTGCGAGAGAAAAAAGTCAGAATTGCGAGATAAAAAGTCGCAATTACCTCTTTTATTTTTTATTCAGTGGCGGAAACGGGCTTCCATAGCTATAGCATCCATTACAGCAATGAAAAAAATCTAAATCAACAGCACACAAATTGCACAAAACTTTGTGTGGCTAGAATCTTAAAATATTGTCTTACTCACAATTTCTCCATAAACTCCAAGATATTCTTTGACGAGAAGCACTAAAGCCCAAAGTTCATCTGCAGTCGATGAGCTGGAGGAAACACTGTCGTGGAAATCAGAGACGCTCGGAGACTCCAGTGAACCTGGTGACAGGAAACAACCGCTTTAGCTCGATATATGCAATATTAATTCATCAAATTGAAGGAAAAAGAAAACCACGGACACACCTGAAGATGGATCCACTTCAAAGTGAAAGCCGATGTCCACTGATTTCTCTAAAATAGCATGAGGCCCCTTCTGAATCTCCTCAGCGTCCTCGAACCCTATCTGGGCGTCTTTATTTCGGTTGAAATGGCCCTCCTCGAGACCCACGTCTTTACTGTGAGACAGATCTTTGTTCGCATTTAATTCAGAATTCAGAATCACTTCAGATTCGTTCTGCTCCTCATGCGTCGCAGGGCTCTCGGGTGGTTCGATCATTTCGACGTTACTGTCCAGACCCTTCACCTCTTCAGAGTCGATTTTTTCATCTGGGAAAATAAGGCGCATAAAATCTTTAATAAAACATTAACCCTATAAAGCCTGACATTTGAAATAATCTGACATTTTTGAACTGGAACGGTTTATTGAAAGTTAAGACAATATATTAAAGAAAGGTTTGCATATACACTACCGCTAAAAAGTTTGAGATCAGAATGATTTGTAATGTTTTTTACAGGAGTTTCTTATGCTCATCAAGGCTGCATTTATTTGATCAAAATACAGGAAAACAATTTATATTGTGCAATATTATTATGATGTAAAATAACGTTTTTCTATTTTAATGCACTTTAAAATCTAATTCATTCCTGTGATGCAAAGCTGATTTTTCCAGTCTTCAGTGTCACATGATCTTCAGAAATCATATAATATGCTGATTTATTATCAGTGCTGGAAACAGTTGTGCTGCTTAATATTTTTTTGGAACCTGTGATACTTTTTTCAGGATTCTTTGATGGCTAAAAAGTTAAAAAGAAGAGCATTTATTTAAAATAGAAATCTTTTCTAACAATATACACTACAGCTCAAAAATTTGGGGTCAGTACATTTCAATTTACAAAATTCAGCAAGGATGTGTTAAATTGTTCAAAAGTGATAGCAGAGATTTATAATGTTAGAAAATATTTATATTTTGAATAATTGCTATTCTTTTCAACTTTTTATTCATCAAAGAATCCTGAAAAAAGTTTCCAAAAATATATATATTTGGCAGCACAACTGTTGATAATTCTAATAATAAATCAGCATATTAGAATGATTTCTGAAGGATCATGTGACACTTTATACTGGAGTAATTATGATGGAAATTCAGCTTTGCATCACAGAAATAAATTCTATTTTAAAGGATATCAAAGTAGAAATCATTATTTTATATTGTAATATTTTTTTCTGTATTTTTGATCAAATAAATGCAGCATTGATGAGCAGAAGACACTTCTTTAAAAAACATTACAAGTCTTACTGATCCCAAACTTTTGAGCGGTAGTGTATGTTTTTTTTGTTGAGTATCATATTTGATGCATCAGGCTTTTATGGCTCATATAGTCTGATATAGTGAGAATATGGAGGAAAAAAACAGAATCTCAATTTTATTTATAGGCCGAAAATGAGCAAAAATATGCAATTTGGTTCAGATGCTGATATTTATATGAACGAAAAGTGATGAAATTCTGATGTTTGTAATGTAAATCAGTGAGATCTTTATAACAATATAACAGATACTGGCATTAAATTATATAAATATCAGTCGTCACTCTATATATCCAATAATATGTCTTAGTAAGATGAGATTTAAATGATCAAAACATAATGCAATGATGATTGCCTGATGATCATATTTGAGACTCTCTGATTTTTCTAACAAATTTTCTAATTTTTAAAACAACGCAAACAGTATCTAATTTTAGGTAAAACCTGAAATGACTCATTGAAACAAGCAAATGCATATAATTAGTGGTTTGGAAATGCAAGCATTGCTGTTAGTACTGCTAAAATGACCTGTTTCAGATGCAAGATGTTCTTCCTCGACCAATGGTGCGCTGTCACTGGCTGCTGAATATTTCTGTCGTAAAGCGAAAACGATCTCCTGGAAAGCATCCAAGATGGCAGCCTCGAAGTCATACATTTCCGGATCCTTCTGCTGTCCGTGTTCCTGAGATGTCCGGTCTCTTTCATTAAATATGTCCTCTGTGGTGTCGAGAATAGAGTTCTCCGAGGCCTCCAAGATTTGGTCCAGCGTTCGCTCGATTTCCTCCGTGTCCATCTGCAGCTCTCTGGCAGACTTCATCTCCAGATCTAGATCAGAAAACAGGGCTTCGATTTTGAACAGGTTCTTACGGGCTAAATACTTCTGCATGCGCTCCATGTCCTCGTCCTTCAGGTGATCGCGTAAGATTGAGAGTCTCAGCACGTTATCGCTGTATTCAGGCTCCTCGGGAGGAAGACGGATTTCATCGCTTTCTTCTTGCTTTGTGGTGTTTGCGCTTTGTTGGGATTCAACCCACTGATCACCTTCAGGTTGTTGGTTTTCTTTAGGTTCTTGTATGCCTTCTATGAGCTGAGATTCAGAAGAAAGAAGAGCATTTTCATCTTCTAAAAACTCTTCGGCATCTTCATCCACATCCTCTTCAGGACTTTGTTGTTCTGATTCCAGTGTGTTTTTCAGTAGATCCACGAGTTCATTCTTCACTTTATCAATCTGTTCATCCATTTGGGTAAATGGAGGTGCAGTTTCTGGGCTTTCTGTAACAAGTTCCTCCTTTAACTTCTCATCTTCGCCAATCGATTCTCTCACTTTTTCGCTATTCTTCGTAACTGCATCCTGAGGATCGTCTGCAGTGTTTATGTTTGCATTTTCATTCATGCTCATGCTGGCCTTCTGAAGGACTTTAACGGCTAGCTTCTCCTGATCGTTTTCTCTAGTGATTTCACTTATATTTAATGCCGGTGGTGCTTTTGCAGACTCGGTTTCCAATGCTGGTTCAGATGGGACGTCTTGACTCGTATCCGAAGCGGTTTTAGCATGTGGAGACAGATGAGAAGATTCTGGGATTTTGAAATCAATGGCTTCATCTGCATTAGCCAGTTCTTCAAAATCACTTTGTGCATGTGTGACCTCAAGACCAGCTTGTTCTTCAACATCAGCAGCTGAAAGCGATTCTTTGGTGAGCTCCTGAAGCGATTCATTCTCTTGCGTTTCACCTTCATGCTCCGTTTTGAAAGCATCTTTAAAGGTTGGCCTGTTCTCATCCTCGAGTGTTTTCTTTGGTGTTTGTAGTGGTATATCTTTATCCTTTAGCTCTGTTTTAGCAGGTTCTTCATGTGCTACGTCTAAACCTGCCGTTTGTGGTTCAAGTGGCTCAAAATCAGAGTCACTTTGGTTGTGCAAAAGCTCAGAATAATCAATATCTTGTGCGTCAGGATCTGATGGTTCCGTTTCTACTTCTTCTGAAATGACCTCAGCATCTTGGCTTATTGGAATATCTTCTGTCTCTTCTGTTAGTGCATCTATAAATTCAGACGTTGGTACTGATGAAACATCTGTCTTTGGCTGAAAGCCATCAGAGTCCTCTTCAGCAGATTTTTGTAATGTCTTGATTTCAGGAGTTTCTACAGATTCTGAATCATCTGGCTTAGATTCAAGAAGCAATGTTGATTCTGAATCGACTGCCTTTGATTCATGAAGTGATTCTGAATCTACTGAATTTGATTCCAGAAGTGATTTTGATTCTGAACGTAGTGACTCTGATTCAAGAATTAATGTTGATTCTGAATCTAATGACTCTGATTCAAGAGGCTCCACCGATTCTGTCGTTGTCATTTGAGATACATCTTCATTCTGAGCTGGTTCTTTTGATTCTTCTGTTGAATTCTCGTTTTCTAGCAACAATGTGCTGCCTAATAACACATCTATGTCATAGCTTTCAAATTGATCAAGACCAGTCTCAAAGCAAATAAAATCTGTTTCCTGAAAAGGAAAAGAAAGATTCATGTGAACCAAATGTCTCATCAAAAACGACCAGACAGAAGTCAATATTAACCACATCAACTCACCTCTGTGGGTACCTCCAATTCTTTTTCAGTATATATATGATTTATATTAAGATATTCCTTTGGGAAATAACCAAAGTGGTTTCCAACCTATGCAAAAAGAGGAAGAGAGAAGAAAAGGTCAATTTTTGCGCTACAGTTATAAGTACCTTTTAACACAGTTTACAAAAAACATAAAACCATAAAAATAAAAAATAAAAACAGTAAAAACTAAAATAAAATCGAATCAAAAGTAAAAATATATAATGCATAAAATAAGAACTAAAAGAATAATATGCACAAAACATGGCAGTCTGCACTTATATTTAAAAATGTAAAAAAACTAACAAAATAAAAGTCTAATTGTTTATATTCCACTCTCATTTAAAAAAAGAGTATTGAAACAAATAAATAGAGAAGAAAGTTGAATAAACTCTAACACAAAGCACACAAACAGTAGGTAACATACTACATTTTAATTAGTTTAACTATTTATCATATACTCATAATCAGGGCCGTTTCTAGCCACTTTGATGCCCTAGGCGAAATCCCTATTGCCCCCCCAATTATTTATATATATATATATATATATATATATATATATATATACCCCAAACTACATATAAAAGCTTTATCAGTGGCATAAAAGTAACCAATGCAGCTACTTAATCATTTGCTACTCGTTAACGCGTTAACGTCCCCTTTAAATAACGTGACGCTCTGCCCTCTATGATGCTGCTCCCATTAAGTGCTGTTGGAAGTGAATGAATTGATTCAGCATTTCGACACCTCCGTAAGGATGCATTTAACTCGACAAAGAGGTCTAATAAAGGATGTATTGATCTCGTGAATTAGCGAATTTTACTATACAAATATTTTTTCAATTGGATGTTAAAGTTTATATGGTCCTTGAACAATGCATTGGCACAAAAAAAAAAAGCTTATGGTAATGCACGGAGTTTGGAATTGGATTTAGACCATTTTAAAACATTTACGATCATATTAAACTTCCAACACAGGTAAAGGGCACAGATTTGGAGAAATGAAGAAATGAAGCATCGCATAACTTGCTCAGCAATGGATGCTCTGCAGTGAATGGGTGCCGTCAGAATGAGAGTCCAAACAGCTGATAAAAACATCACAATAATCCACACCACTCCATCAGTTAATGTCTTGTGAAGCAAAAAGAAACAAATCCATCAAGATGTCTGAACTTGAAACCATTGTTTCCTGCCAAAATACGAGTCCATAATCCATAATAACGCTTCCTCTGGTGAAAAAGACCATTGTCTATTGTCCTTCACATCAAAATCCACCCACATATTTGTTTAAAACGGCTTGTAAACGGTGCTTGATCTGTGTAGATTTCTCTCCTGATTCAGACCAGATGACCTTTTCACTGGAGAAAGTGTTATTATGGATTATGGATATTTTAGCTGGAAGCAATGGTTTGAAAACACTGTAAGGATGAATTTGTTTCTTTTGTCTTCTCCAGATGGAGTGGTGTGGATTATCGTGATGTTTTTATCAGCTGTTTGGACTCTCATTCTGACGGCACCCATTCACTGCAGAGGATCCATTGCTGAGCAAGTGATGCAATGCTATATTTCTCCAAATCTGATGAAGAAAAACTCATCTACATCTGGGATGGCCTGAGGGTGAGTACATTTTCAGCAAATTTTCATTTTTGTGTGAACTATTCCTTTAACACATTTCTCAGCTGTTGAAGATTCATGCATGATCTGTCGCCCAACTAAATAAATACATGTAGACTGTTTGCGATGATAATAATAATAATAATAGTAATACTAATCAAATA